CAAGTCGAGCAATGACCTTTAAAGGATCTGAAGGCAGAATCCGATCAACGCGTCCCCATATCTTGGTATTAGGAACACACACACGAACAGGTTTTGTCGTGAGATTGCTTCAGAGGGAAACATCAATGACTTTGTAACACCTAAAGCAGATGATTGCATCAGTGACAAAGGGCGGCTGTTACAAATGGATGGTCTTTACTTTTAAAATACAGATGAACCAGATCAGGGCAATGTCTCCAAAAGGATGTAATGTATTAGAGACGTATAAGTAGCGGAAAACAAACTGATAAGATTTGTGTGAATAAAAAGGTGACAGCAACCAGCAATTTTACTGCAACCGGTTCGATGACCAAATGTCTGTTCTAGAAATGAAAATTATTCATGTTTTCAGTCTAAGTCTTGAAATTGTAGGAGGTGCGACGTATGAAAGTTAGAATGTGTCTTGTAATGAGGGTGATGGTTCCTTTCTAGATAAAAAATACGTAATGTAGTTGTTTGAGTTAGAACTCAAAATGGGCTATTACCTATTGAATAAATATTGTATTGACCAATTGACCTGACTTCTTTAGAATAGACGTATAAACAGACGACTGTGTAAATGCACGATGTGGTTTGGTTAAGACTGCTAAACGTATTGTCTCCGTCTCGAATGCATGACACAAAACCAGATGTTGAGTCATTGAGTGAGTGACTTTAGCAATATTCCAGCAACATCACGAAGGGGATCACCAGCAATGGGGTTTACACGTACCAATGTAGGGAATTGAACCCGGGGCTTCCATATATGCATGTGACGAGTGTCTTACCACAAGGCTACCCCACCGCATTATTAAGTAAAAACCTACACAACTACAGATCCGTCGAACTGAGTCAAAGTTACAGAAACAGAAAATAATAAATAGAAACTATTTAGAAGACCCTTGACGCTACATGTTAAGTAAGTGTTCCATCAGCTAGCTTACATAGGAGGACACAAGTACCCCTGTCGTTTAAGGCGCCACAATTCGCTGCGCACAGTTGCGTCCCTTGGCCAGGCCAGAAGCATATGATTATGGGTTCGAATCCCGTTTGCTCCGAATACGTTTCAAGGTTTGTCAGCAACATTTGCGTGTTCGTGAGTTTCAACAATGTTGTAAACGTATTAGACCTGCATAGTTTCGGACTTTCATCATACATCGTGATATTCAGAGCGGCGTTAGACCCAATTCACTCACTCAGTCTTCCATACTTTATCTTGATTTATTCTAATGTAATCTGTCCATGTCATTAATGCACATTGGAATAGACATGGGATTCAATTTGTAAATCCTTCAGTAGACATTGGCCACAGTACCTTATGATCATTATTGGGGCGGTGGGGTAGCCTAATGGTTAAAGCGTTGGCCCGTCACGCCGAAGACCCGGGTTCGAATCCCCACATGGGCACAATGTGTGAAGCCCATTTCTGGTGTCCCCCGCCGTGATGTTGCTAGAATATTGCTAAAAGCGGCGTAAAACCAAACTCAGTCAGTCAGTCAGTATGATCATTATTAAAGCGCTTAAAATGTCTGATCTGAGACTTTGATCGGTTGTGTTTCATCGTATCATGGTGGCATGACTGGTACGAATGCTTCCAGTCACCGGTTTGTCTGAACCAGGCAATATATGACTATATATATGACTGTGATATAGCTGTAATATTGCTGAGTGCGGCGTAGCACAACATGCGCTCATTCTGTGTCTTTATGACATGTATGACCAAGCAGCAGCTGATGTAGAGGTCAGCAGGTGTTACCATAGAAACAATCTTTGTGACCTTTTCTGGTCAACCTATCAAAGGACATGACCGACTGAGCGATCGTACTGAAGTCAGCCACAAGTTGCATCACGCTATCGTGTGTGTGACGAGGCGGTGACAGTGTTATCACACTTGTGATATTGGCGTCTGTACAATATTCAAGTGATATACACCTGCTATGGTGACCTTGGTCCTCATACCTTACAGTTGCGGAACCAACTGAAACCTCGTGTTCTCACTGTTAAACTGTCACACAGTGATGGTATTTAATTCGTGCCGTTATATAATTTCACTTGAATGTTACATGCTGAAGATCGACCAATCTTTTAGTAGCAGCCATGAGTGGTTGAAATCGATGAGAACTTAAAAATATATAGTTACTATGATATGTTGAGTGTCGTGTTTTAACAAAGTCATACAATGAATTTTACCGTTCGTCTCGATACAAATTACATCCTGGTTAAAAAGGCATGTCGGTATCCATTCAAAATACATTATGAGTATCTTATCAGATACTAATTAGAAATACCTATCATAATATTCTGTTCATAATATTCAGCTTGCATTATTATTTAGGTTGGCGTCCTCACAGAAAGGACAAACTAGATTATCATAAGGCGTTTTGTGCAGAATATTCAAATATCACTTCGTGATTTGAAACAAACCTTTTGAGTGGAAGGTGCAATTTATCATAGTGATATTTCTGATGCATTAGATGTTTTCGTCTGTCACATTATGATAAATTTAAAGAAGAGTATTTTGTACGATAGTAGACTGATGGCTTGGTCTTATTGAAGGGAGTATGTGGAACCAATGATTCCGATGACATTTTTATGAAGTTAAATCACATACAACCCAAATGCTGACATATCACATTTCTTACATGTATTAAACATCTTGAATATACATATTGTTCATATTAGACATAATTTCAGAACACATGGATATATAAACGATGTTAACGTCTAATTTTAAAGATCGAGATAAGAGAAGGTGTTTGACAGGGTTCCCTCCCACGACGCTCCCTGTTGTATAACAAGTTAGGTTCATCCACGCCTCGTTACCTTCAGAACAGCATACTGGGTATGCTAGAAGATTAGCATTACTACTGTGCTTCCCTCACTTAAACTGAAATCTTGTCGCAGTGTTGCTGTACGAAAAATGTGGGTCGGCGTTGCATTGTTGTCGTCGTACCTAGCAGGGGATGTCAACTGCGTGATAAGAATTTCAATGTTAGGGAGGTGTGCTTCATGATTTAAATGGCTTAGCTGTTTCAACTAACATGTTCATAAAAGGTGTATTCTCTAAATGTAAATGTTGACTTACTATGTCGAGTGAGTGACTTGTGCTGAAATGGGTTAGCAAGGACTGGCGTGGGGGATGTCGTACAGCAGTGTAAATCTGACGTTGTTTCAAATAAAGCGATTCCCATCTGGTGATAATACACAATGAAAATAAACAACACGTAAAATAGGAAAGTTTATTTCCAGCAATCTGTACACGCCCAGGATATGTAGACCAAATATGAAAACACAGAGACTTGCAATAGCTGGTGTAGATATGTTCAGGGCCCGTTGCACAAAGTCTTCATAGCGCTGAAGTGATCATAACTACCATGCTTTTATAAGGACTTAGAAACATGATTATCCTTTTCGCGAACACCTGGTGTCATCTCTTATTTTTAGTGGTACATTCATATGATCTTCACGGCTATTCTGCCTATTACATCAGAAGGAATCTATTTCCTGAGGACAGTATAAAGTGGTATTCTTTTATACTAACGTTTTATGTTTTTGATAACGATACTAGTACCGCAGATATCTGGACCCAGATGTCAATAGGTTTACTTGTATTTGTCATACGATTGCACTGGAGCGTTTAATGGGCACAATGATAGTGACAAAACAATAACTACCATATTGTGTTTACACAATGCCAAAACAATTATTGTTGTTTATAACCCTAGGATAGTAATAGTGATACACAATCTCAAGTTCGAATCTGAGAATGAATCAACCATTGAAAACGCATACGAACTAATACACTAAGTAACCTTTATCAAACATATAATGCTTCATGCAGCAATGTGAGTGAGATGTCTGTCGAAAGTACAACGTATGTGGGAAAACCTCGAAAGGCATGTCTGGATGTCTAACTTAATGTCTGGCGCGAACAAATAGTCACCATGGCAATGAATTCGAACAGTAGGTGTTGTATTTGCTTTTTTGTGGCATGTTAATGACTCTGGTATGGGTCAACCGGTTCCTACCCGTGGACAGGTACGCTGAGTGACAAATGTGTCCTGTTTCTGTGATTGGTTAAAATGTAAGGACATCTGCAGCCTATACAGGCCGTGGTTGATAGGATGACCTGAAATCGTTATAGCCATGCGAATCGCATTATATTATTATAGTTTTTCATGTAATTACTATTTGGAAGCGGGACCGAAGCACATAAAGACTACAAGCTAGGACTAAAGAGTGTCTAAACAAATTGAATTTTGTTGTAAATACCCTCTGAAGCAGATTAACCATTGTTTCCTGTAACAAAAGGCATCACGGAAGTCAGATATGACAGCTGATTATGACAATGCTGGTTAGATGGATATTCTCCACTTAACCACAAAAAGACAAAGCTACAAATGCGTGTAATATTCAGGAAAATCGTGACGGCACATGCCATCCCTGGTCTTCTGTTTGAAGATGCAAAGCCTTTATGAGGATTAACTTCCAGATCCCTTCATCTTGCCCGTAGCCATCTGCAACAGAGGACAGAGAGGCAGTGAGGTCCAGCTACAGGCCGACCTGTTTAAGAAGACGATACCATTCTAACACCTGTGACGGCCAGATGACCCTTTCCTTCTGCTAGTTGACATAGGCAAATGTGCAGAGACTGTGGAGGCGAGAATTAAAACAATACCAGTGCGTGTTGTGACGTGACTTCCTCGTGATTCAACGGCAGACGACCTTGTTTTTGGCGGGAGATCCTCCCCATCGGTGACATTACACGTCCGAGTCTCCCGCCGCGGCATGCAAACCATACGTCAGTCGCCGCTCATTTAAAAGCTATGGCATGTGCTGGACAAACACTCTAATGACAAAACTTGTGAAAGAAACCCGCGTTGAAGTTCACTCACACGAGAACACTAAGTCATCTTTAATAGAACGGTGAACGTCACACAAAACCAGCGTCTGCTGTAACAGTCGTCCGCCATTTTGAAACAATGGCTATGGGTGCCTCATCGTCGGCTATTGTTGTCACCGCTGTGGTGGCAGCTTTGGCCATGGGTGCTGGACTTATTATAGGATACCTTCTTCGTCCCCAGGTGTCGAGTAGGCAGAGCTTTGACTTTAACACAGTGAGAAATAGGACACTTGGTAGATTGCTCCAGACTTGTGGGGATGCGGCGAGGGATGAACCGGAGATTCAGAGGTAAGGGAGAGAACCACAGTAGAGTTTAGGGTCGGAGCGTGCAAAACATTGGAGAATTTTACAAAAGATCCAGCACCTAATGTATGGAACGTACATACAGAAAGGACTACGAATTGTGTTTGTTAAACGAGGCTGTGTCGTATAATTCGAAGGTGCAGCAATAGCTGTTGGAAGTAATATGGGGATTAGTCTTGGGCTAATTTTCTGTTCCGGGTAATTATGATGACATTGAAAACTGGAATGTTTAGTCCAAATGGCATGCACTGACTGATCTGATTTCACTGAAGAACCGTTTAAGTGTATCACAAGCCAAAAAATGCAACTTCCAGACCCATAGTTTGTAATAAAATGGCTACCCGACTGTGGCGAAATATTGTCTCCTGAACTTTTGCATTCAAACATTATAGGCAATCATGAAAGTTGTTATTAAGGCAGGTTCATGTCCAAATGTTGATGTAGGATGGATGTCTTCATCGTTGGTGTTGCTGTTTCAGGTACTTGTTGTCTCACGAGATCGAGGCGTGCAAGGCGTACACCTGTAGTGTGCCTCTCCCCAGGACGTACCAGGTGTATCATCTTCTAGGGGCAAAGATCGAGGTGGACGGGCGTCTGGACGAGAAGGCCTGGCAGGAGGTGGCCTGGAGTCAAACATTTATTGGTCAGCACCTCTAAAATTCTGCTCTACCATTCCATCAGTATGCATGTGGAATCTCATTAGCTCGAACCCTTTGGCCAAACATTTGCCTTAATTGCATGTATACTGCCTGCATCCTCTACACTCTATAAGTCTATAACATAGAAACGAGTTGCAATGCCATGTACCAACTAGGGTCCATTTGCAAAAGGTTGTTTCATTCATATTCAGGTGTGTAAATATAAAATGTCAATGCAAGAACAGGACCGAAAAGGAATAAGGCAAATTTGATGTGAAAATCGCTTCTGTAGATCACTTCACTTAGATCCGTGTTAACGGAGAATGTGTGAGCTTAACAGTTGACTGATGTTTAAAAAAACCATTCCAATCTTTTGTTACCCCAAAGATAAATTAAATTGATGACTGTAGATATTGTTAAACTCGGCGCTGTTTCAACCAGGGAAATATGAATGAAACACAAAAGTGGCAACTTGTTACATCTTTGTTAATTAACAAAGGTACACACATTGAACTGTTTCCTTTATCAAAATCATGGCAGTAAAAATATGTTCTGCTTTTTTCGTCAAACACATGTATTTGTTCATTTTGACAACGTTTCAACGTGACGTTCCCAGCGTCGGCTGAATGAACCACTCGTGTGTTTATCTGTGTACATAGGACACGCACGTTTATCGTTACGATCAGGACTAATGAGTTTACTTAGTTTTATGAATGGCAGTGTTTTACAAGGAGAGAAGTTATTTAACATAAAAGATCCATACAAGCCATGCCAACGTTCCCTTTCCACAGTCGTCGTTTGTTTTCATGCACCAAGATAATCCTTGCTGATTTCTTTGCAACCATTCACCAACACGGCTTGGGACTTGAAATAGAAACGGCTTGTTTATACTTAGTATTACAGATGCAAAAATAACAGATGCAGGAGTGTACCAAAAGGTCTTATTGGAGATTATTATTAAATGTTTATGTAACTGGAGTAAAGAGTTTGTGTGTTTTGGAAAGCCTTAGAAACATAATTTCATAAATAGGTGTATTTTGTGACATATATTTCAAACTGTATAACACGGATGGTAAGGGGTTTATACACATGTACAACAGATCAAAATAAGTGAAAATACTGTTTGAGAACTAATACAGAGATGTAAAAAGGTTGACGGGGCGGTGGGGTAGTCTAGTGGTTAAAGCGTTGGCTCGTCACGCCGAAGACCCGGGTTCACAATGAGTGAAGCCCATTTCTGGTGTCCCCCGCCGTGATATTGCTGGAATATTGCTAAAAGCGGCGTAAAACCAAACTCAGTCAGTCAGTGTAAAACGTTAACACGTCACAAAAATATATATTTCATTGAGTACTCAAACATGTGTTGTAAGTGTAGCACCGCGTCTTCAAAGCTGAGCCCCTTAGCTAGGTCCGGATCCTCTGATTATGGCCTTGTTAAGATCTGAGTGCGTGAACACCATACCTGTGCTTCTTGATTTAACTACAGTAGCAACGCCAACCATTTGCGTTTCTGTAAGATGCCCTTTACATTAAACCCAGAAGTAATGACATGACTGAATTATTGTTCAAAACACACAATTAAACAGAGTACAATTTCAGATATCAAAGGAAGTGACTACCCAGCACCGAGGTTCCAGACTAACGTGAAGGTTCGGTGGGATGACGAGAACCTGTATGTAGCTGCCTATCTGGAGGAGACGGATGTCTGGGCCAACAGATCCCTGCACGATACAACAGGTAGGCCAAATATAGACGCAGTTAGGCATGTGTATATATCCACAGAGGAAGGAAGACCAAAGAAACACGTTACCGAAATACGTCATGGGGTTATATCTACATGTTAAGACTTATGTCTCGATGCTAAACTTACGAATAAACATACTTTAACGTAATGTTCGTTTCTGGATTAAGCAAAGTTTAGAATGAGCACTCTTTTGCTAACTTGAACGGAACAGGCACATAATGTCATATTTAATTTGAAAACGAGTGAAAGAATCTAGTTTTGTGTATCCAGTGGTAGGGAGGAGAATAACCACAGCTGAATACTGAAAATCGATTGAAAACAATTTTCTGAAAATGTGTCGTGATGAAATAAAAGTAGACAAACTAGTCTTACCAAGTTCCAGAACATTTCACTAAACAAGACTGCAGTATTCCTGTCTCATAATTTATGATTAAAAATACAGCAATGGTTACCTGGGGAACGAAGGATAAGCAATAAACAAGCTGAGTCAATTTAAATGTTGACAATGCTTGATCAAAGTTTACACATGTATAAGTATCGCTAACCCACTTCTTTGACACGTTTGGGCAGAATCTGGAGTCAGCTTAACATACAAAACTTGTCACTTGTTACCGTTTGTGTTCCTCTGCAGGTGCCTGCATGTAGAATCTTTGCATCCCTCATGCCTTGCCTTTAGCCTTTACTTAGACTGAGAACACCAAATTCTCACACTTAGACAAGGACTGTGAAAGTTGGCGATCTTAAAATGGTCAGCTATAAGATGGCATGCTCTAGATAGGATATTGGTTTACTTCCGTCTGGAGGTAAGGAGACCAAAGACAGTCCCACCAGTATAGAACGTACAGAACATAAATGTGAACAGTGTATTGATCGAGCATATCTGGGTTCTATAAGCATCGTATTCAGTTGCCAACATGCTTTTTCGTTTTTAGGTAACATTTAAAAAGTAACCTTAGTGATAAAGCGTTTGATTAAAGACGTGGTGGTATTAATCATTATCAAGGTAAACTGCAAGGTATAGTTTGTTACATTTGGTTCCTATGTACGTGTTTTCTCGAAGAGTAGAAGACATACGGAATAAAATGAATCATGACTGTGTTTTACTATATTTGTGGTAGTGGTGACACAGCAAGTGAGTGAGTTGGAATGTGAGTGAGTGAGTGAGTTGAGTTTTACGCCACACTCAGCAATATTCCAGCTATATGGCGGCGGTCTGTAAATAATCGAGTCTGGACCAGACAATCCAGTGATCACCATCATGAGCATCGATCTGCGCAATTGGGAACCGATGACATGTGTCGACCAAGTCAGCGAGCCTGACCACCCGATCCCGTTAGTCGCCTCTTACGACAAGCATGGGTTACTGAAGGTTCATTCTAACCCGGACCTTCACGGGTGAATTGGAATGTAACATCCCATCGGTTTTATTTCAGACAGATAGCAACCTCATTGCCACATCACCAAAATGCTCATGATCTCTTAATATTTTCAAATATGTGTATGAATAACACATGCATACATACATGCATACATACATGCATACATACACACATACATACATACATACATACATACATACATACATACATACACACACACACACACACACACACACACACACACACACACACACACACACACACACACATATACATACATACATACATAAAAATGAACATTAGTTTTCAAAAACGATGTAATATGTTTATATATGTTAACCTTGTTCCCAATATATCAAATTAACCAATATTAATAGTGTGAAATGTGCATAGTGAAAGTAAACTGGTTCCGTCTATGTGTGAGGTAGTAGTGTGCGACAGGGAGGTGTCCTGGGTCAACACACTGTGTACCGTTACGGCCAACGCCTAATGCCTCCACAAACATATGGCGGAAACAGACCTTGAAGCAAGGTTGCCTCTCTCACCACAATGCCGCTCTGATCGGTCGGTTGTCTGTCTCGTAGGGACTGGGTCTTGTAAAACTCCTCTTTTATTGTTTCAGACACAATTTACAAATAGCATTAATGATTTTACAATCATTCGTGGACGGAGAACGCATATTTCTTACTGAAATAAAGAAAAAAATTATGCCAACTGAGGAAATAGACCAAGAAAAATGTCCATTATCTATGTTGATGTAAGTAGCCTTTTAACACTGTATGTTACACCATTGTGAAAACATCACAGATTGATTAAATAGGAGGGTATTTAAAATTTAAAATATTTCACATACTGTCACATTTTCATTTTGTATATTTGTATGAAATTGATAAATAAACGCTTTGAATATGACATATGACGGTATCCATGCTAAGGATTGGGATGAGAAATATTATCGTGTTACCATGAGTGTAACAAAGGGCTGTGCCAGATACCTCCTGGCCTCTTAATAATATTGTACATTACAAATATTGAAAATTATATGGACTAATACTAGCAACATCGATAATATAGTAATGAATATTTCTATATTCGTAGTGCCATTCACAGTTTTGAACCGACAGCTGACACTTCGGGGATTAATAACAATAGTGTTTCTCTTATTCATACAAGAAAACTGAATTCTAAACAGTAATTATCTGACAGAAAAAGTAATAATTCGGGAAAAAGGCACAATGAACATCATATGAAGAAGTGAATCGTGCCAACAACTTTTCAAAGTAACCTCTCGCCTTTTCATGAGGTCAGTGTGAAAGGGCGCTTCTCATGCTCTTCTAACTTCAAACTACTTTTCAAAGACTTGAGCATCGTATATTTTAAAAGTATATATTGTGTAAAGATCAGCATAAACTTCACTATGCCAGTGTTGATAATTTTTCTCGTTTGTTAGAGGTGTTGGAGGTGACGAGCTTTTGCGCACTTTGAAACGTACTTGGTATTTAACTGGCAAATAGAACAAATCAAAACAAAGACACGACCTTTTTACAACGTCGTGGCATAATATTGCCTGTTTGTGTCGATTCATTATCATAAACATCGTTATTTGAAAACTGTTCACGTAAGTGTAAATTTTGATGAAGATTCTAGCCATAGAGTGTGGGGATTTCAGTAAAGGATATGATAGGCTGAAGAGCCTCGGTTACTTACGTCCTATCTACACCTATATAGTTTACATAGACAAAGGTTCACATAGTTTCATCAAAACTGTTACCACTAGTCCCATTACCAAACTTGTGTCTAAAGAAACAGCTAATCCTTGGGGATTTTCTACCTTACCTCCCAAATGTCGCCAGCGAACCTTTTCATTACGGCTACACGAGTAGCCATGGAAACGAGGCACAAAAAGTGCATACCTCACCATAGCTTGGACTGCACAGTCGTGTGGTAGGCCTCGCGCCTTGTCACCAGGGGCCTCCCAGACGCTCGACAGCTAGATGTGAGAAAATGTTAAAGAAGTGGTTGTTTAGTGATACCTCAGTAAAAGTCAAACAGGCAATGGGTGGAGCGCCCGGCGAGACAGCCTCCAGCCTTCCTCCCTGTGCATGGCATTCCGTGGAGAATCATCCCGGTGATCTGAAGCATGGCAGGTGCTTGTTGTACCCCCACTGTGGGACAACACTGTCATACCAGATCCTTGTGCTTACAGCAAGCCAACATTGAGATGTTAGGAATATTTCAAACTTGCAAGTTAGGAAGACGTTTACATTTACAAATGCGTTAAAAGCTTTAGTTTACGTTTAACAAAGGTGTGAAGTACAGGGGAAAACTGGAACAAAACACGAAAAAAGGTCGGATGTTCCCATCGATAAATTCATGTATTAAAGTCCTTGAGAAGATCAGGATCCATTGAAACTGCATGGAGAAACAGACTGACAAACATTAAATAAAATGCAATGGCCATATATTCTAAATGTTGAATGCCATATAAGAGTATGTCATTAGTAGTTCTATTCCTCACTGATATGTTATGATGCTGTTGACGCTGCTGACGCTAAATATGATGTGCAGATAACAAATACAAAATAAAATATTAAATTAAAATTAAAACCATTCAAACTTATATCTAAAACAATGCAATCTAATTCATTCGTAAACCATGAAACCGACAACGTTGACGTTCATAAAGGATGCATAAGACGACGACTACTTGTTTTCAACAGCCATTTATACATTCCGGTAATTTGTTAACAACATGTCATACATATGCCTGATGATTAAAACCTTTATCTCACATGTAGGAAATGCTGTAATTTGAGCAGTAAAGTTTGTCCAAGATGTATATTTTGCATGTTTATTGTTCCTGTCGGAACGTTTGACACACTTTAAATTATTTGACCCGCGCCTTCGAGCAACTTGACAAAAACATCAGTTAAACCAAATGTTACCGTCCGAAGTGAAAGCTGTTCTCAGATTCCTACCTCATAGTGATGTCCTTTATGATATATGTATGTGAGGTGAGGTGAAATTGGGTTTAACGTCGTACTTGAGAATATTTCGCTCATATGACGACGTGCATGCGTGTGTATGTGTATGTGCGGCTGCTTGTACTAGCCCAGACTGAAGCTGGTTTTATAGTGCTAGCCCACTGAGATACCATGCCGCAGTGAAGCATGAATACGCCACTCAGACACATTATACTGACTCCGAGCCGACCAGTCCTTGTTGTACCCATTAATGCCGAGCGCCAGGCAGGGACCAACAAGTACCATATTTTAACGTCTTATGGTATGACGCGGTCGGGCACCTTCCGCTCTCCGGGCGGACGCTCTAACCACTACACCACGGAGGCGGTCATATATGTATGTAAACAATGGTCGTCGGGAAAGGGTTTCCAGTCAAGGACGTCTACTGCTTAATATACAATAAATCTGTATATAATTTAATATACAGATCTCCATAATTTGATGTCATGATGATCTTCCAGGCCGCCTCCGTGGTGTAGTGGTTAGAGCGTTCGATCCCCGGCCGCGTCATAACAAAAGACGTTAAAATATGGTACTTGTTGGTCCCTGCCTGGCGTTCGGCATTGATATGTACAACAAGGACTGGTCGGCTCGGAGTCAGTATAATGTGTCTGAGTGGGGTATAAAACCAGCTTAAGTCTGGGCTAGTACAAGCAGCCACACATACACACACATGCACGTCGTCATATGAGCGAAATATTATTAAGTGCGACGTTAAACCCCATTTCACCTCACCACACCTCATCATGATCTTCCAAAGATTGTACATCACTTGATGGTTACTTGATGTGCGAGATAGTTACAGCATTTATGAGTACTAGTGATGTGTAAGTGTATGTATGACGTGCCTTAAAAAGCTATACTTTTGCCCATTACCATAACTCATGCTGCTTGAAACAAATAAAAGTGATGGCTATTTGCGGTGTTTAAGTGTATCACATTATGTTTTTAAGCTTTTTTGTTCTGAACATCTTCTGTTTTATTTCAGTGTACCAAGACAATGCATTCCAGGTGAGATCCACATTCATTTCTATAATACAGGAAGATAATAAGGCGATAATACAGGAAGTTATAAAACAATGTCAGTACATATTTGTATATACGTTCGAGGAGATTGCATCAACCAACAACACGACCCGTCCTGCTAATATCATGAAAATGTCTGTTTACCTGCCAGTCATTGCTTATTTAGTTCCCGTAAACTTCCAAAAAAATAATACGTCGGTGTTTTCTGCACAAGTTCTTGTATAAGGTGCGTGTAATTTAGCTAATGTTTAACTATATACCTCCAAATGTTTACTACGTGGAATGTGCAAATGAAAGGCACCTCTTTTGTCGCAGGCTGCACGTCGGTACTCCAGGTACAACATCCGTCCTGGAGGTCTTGGTGGACATTCCCTTGTTAAACTGACTGTAGAACATTTGTTTATATGAATACACGTTGTAATTGCGCTTGAAAATGTGAAGGTATACAACTGATTCATATTTCTTGTTTATTGCAAACAGCGGATTCAAAATCACTCTTATCTTGATAACGGTGTACGAATCTACATCGAAACGTTGCCCTATGCAATCAACAAGAATTTGTTATCCATAAAGTGTGTATGCTTCATTATTGACTCACCAACTTCTACAGTGCCAACAAACAAACACTGCCAAATATAGGTAACAATTTGTTTATGCTGTGCATGTTTTTCCCCTACAGGTCATGTTAGACACCGAGCAGAGCAACCACAAGTAAGTTCACTCAAGTAAACCATCATTAGATATATAATTTTTAAAGAACTAAGAAAAACATTATTTGTTCATCAAACAAATTGCCTATCAACGAGGATAGTTTTGTTCAGGTTCAATCAGTTGCATTTACTATCTGAGGATTCGAACCTGGTTTTCATGCATAACGGACCAACGTTTCAACCACTTGGCTACCACGCCGCCCTTTCATAGTGTGTGATCTTACTGGTTCTGTGTCATCGTACATCGGGGCGGTGAGGTAGCCTAGTGGTTAAAGCGTTGGCTCGTCACGCCGAAGACCCGGGTTCGAATCCCCACATGGGTACAATGTGTGAATCCCATTTCTGGTGTCCCCCGCCGTGATGTTGCTGGAATATTGCTAAAAGCGGCGTAAAACCAAACTCAGTCAGTCAGTCAGTCGTACATAGGCCATGTGTAATGTTATTTGTAGGATATCACTCGCTGGTCCTTGTACAATGATCACAGTTAGCTATTGCGGCAATGCGCTGACTGCCATGCAAGCGTAATTTGGGCTATGACAACTTTGGCGATTATATGCAGACATGGAAAAATGTTTTCTCCCATCGCTCATTATTGATACTGAAATGAATTATTCTTCGATTACAGATACAAAGAAATAACAATGAACGCATTGGGAACAGTATCCGATATCATGCTGACAAGGGTAAGTAACGTAACATAAATATAACAAAAACAAAACGCAACCGTTGATTAAATAATTATTGATATTGATGGTTTTGATATCATGGTATTTTACAGAACGGTTTGTTTTGTTCAACAGCCATATATGGATGACGGAGAGCCCCTCAGTTTCTGGGAGAGTGACGTCATAAGAGGAGTCCACACAGACGGACCAATCAATGACCCCAACGTCAAGAGTGAGTTGTCCTTTTAGAGAACATATACTGTCTTTCGTAGATCGATGCTTATGGCGTCAAATACTGGATTGTTTGGTCCAGATTTGATCATTTACAGACGCCGTCATACAGTTGGAAACATGTGCAGAGTGCGGCGTTTAACAACATAAACTTTCAGTGATCAATTCCTATGCTTCCCCGCTTCTTTGGCTCTCCGACTAATTTAGGGGCGGTGGGGTAGCCTAGTGTTTGAAGCGTTGGCTCGTTACGCCGAAGATCCGGGTTCAATTCCCCTCAATGTGTGAAGCCCATTTCTGGTGTCCCCCGCTGTGATATTGCTAGAATATTGCTAAAAGCGGCTTAAATTCAAACTCCCCACTCACTCACTCTTCGACCAGTTTGGATAATCTGGGTTAGGGCATCCATAAAACGACTGACAGGGGTTTATCACCGAAGGGAGACAACTCTGCATGACTAGTGCACAAATAAATCCCCGCTGTGATATTGCTAGAATATTGCTAAAAGCGACGTAAATTTAAACTCCTCACTCACTCACTCTTCGACCAGTTTGGATAATCTGGGTTAGGGCATCCATGAAACGACTGACAGGGGTTTATCATCGAAGGGAGACAACACTGCATGACTAGTGCACGAACAAATCGTTAAAGATCTGAGGAGAGGAAACTCAAGCAGAGACATGATGGTTTTATATCATTACCTGTTTAAGCAAAGACACGCATGCTTTATATTCTTGACTGTTATTTATTAGAAAACATCATTTCAGTTTCTGTAAGCCGTATATTTACTTCGTGTACGTGAAAGTGATGTTAGTTAATAAATCTTTCTATCATTATGTGGTGGTGGTGGTGGAATTGGTTTTAACGTCATGCTTGAGAATATTTCGCTCATATGACGACCTGCGTGCGTGTGTATGTGTATGTGCGGCTGCTTGTACTAGTCCAGACTGAAGCTGGTTTTATAGTGCTAGCCCACTGTGATACCATGCCGCAGTGAAGCATGAATACCCTACTCAGACACATTATACTGACTCCGAGCCGACCAGTCCTTGTTGTACCCATTACTGCCGAGCGCGAGGCAGGGACCAACAAGTACCATATTTTAACGTCTTTTCGTATGACGCAGTCGGGGATCGAACCCGCGACCTTCCGCACTCCGGGCGGCTATCATTATGTAAAATATTTCCCTTTTCAAAGAACATAAAAGAACTCCTGATGGTGCTAACAAATACGAGTTACATGAATATTATTCCTTCACGATTATATTGACATTTGCAGATAAATTCTGGACCCTGGAAATGTCCATTCCATTTAAAACGCTTTTCGCTGGTATCAAGAGAAACTCGGATGTTCCAAGTGATAGAGAAACATGGCGGGCCAACTTCGTAAGGTAAGTCTGGGCGATGGGGTGGCCAAGCGGTCCAAGCGTTCGCTCGTAACACCGAAGAATCGGGTTCGATTCCCCACATTGTTACAATGTTTGAAGCTCATTTCTTGTTTCCCCAGCCGTGATATTGCTGAAATATTGCTAACAGCTGCCTAAAACTACTCTTTCACTCGCATGGTTTGTCGAACCGTCTATACTGTAGGTATTATACATGCGCTTCTATAAGAGCGAATGCGCGACAGAGCTTGGCTGGGGGACATTTTATGGCGCTTCAGTCAACGTTATTACGGGCATATCGCAACAACTATACATAGACCGATGAATTGCAATCTAACTCGAAAACTAATAAACATTAAATACTCAATGAAACGCTGATCATAATCAAAACATCAGACCAACTCTGTGATTTGTTTGCAGAATTTATGTTCTAAAATTAAAAAAGTTGTTTTACAAACTATCATTAAAATCTTGACACAGTTCACTATTTGTTACGAGGGAGGAGTGCAGAGAAAGGGACAGCCAGGTGTTAGAGAAGCAAGTGCCGACAACGTTATTGATTCATTAACCTGTGATGTGCCGTCTCCCTCCTTTCTCGCACACCTGGCTGTCCCTTTCTCTGCACACCTCCCTCGTAACAAATAGTGAACTGTGTCAAGATTTTAATGATAGTTTGTAAAACAACTTTTTTATTTTTAGGACATAAATTCTGCAAAAACCTCACAGAGTTGGTCTGAGGTTTTGATTATGATCAGTGTTTCATTGAGTATTGTATGTTTATTAGTTTTTCGAGTTAGATTGCAGTTCATCGGTCCGCTTTTGAGCCCAACGGACTATAAATGGAAGAAGCTGAGCTCATTGTGAGGTTGATGTCACTTTATTATCTATCTCACTTTATTATTCGTCATGAAATACTACGTTATGTTAACATTGGAGTTGCATTATTTCTTTAGATCCGAATGGATGACAGAAGTTGTTGGAGGAAAATATCACAAGGTAGGTGAACTTTCTGTTTACTCTTTTTAACATTGAGATGTCCGAGTAAAAGTTTTAAGAGTTTTTAGAATATTATGTGTGTCAAGCCACCCTGGCAGGGACGCTACGAATCTGTCAAAGAGCTATACATCTTAATACAACGAGGGGGCGGTGGGGTAGCCTAATGGTTAAAGTGTTGGCTCGTCACGCCGAAGACCCGGGTTCGAATCCCTACATGGGTACAAAGTGTGAAGCCCATTTCTGGTGTCCCCCGCCGTGATGTTGCTGGAATATTGCTAAAAGCGGCGTAAACCAAACTCAGTCAGTCAGTATTATAACGAGAATATATGTAAACGTTTGGCCCCTTTATTAAATAACAATTGATAAAACAGTTGGTTCTAGGTAACAAACCAGTATTTCGTGTGTCGTCGTGAGTTTCATCTGAAGTACACACACACTTTATAGCCTATTCATAAACCTTAACAAACAGAAATGTATGGTTTTGAAAAGCCTAAGAATATACATTGTGTTCATGTTGTGTTTACTTTCCCCAGAGACTTGATATGGAGGCTGACTGGTGGGTGTGGAGTTCACCCGGGGTGTCCAACATTCATCTACCCGACAAGTAGGTGTTTGTCTGTGCACGACTTCATGCAATATGGTGCAAGACCAATGAACTGATAGAATTCCATGCAATCACGTTTGTAAAATTTGTAAATAAGTCATCGGGAAAGCATTGTTTACTTTAGACATGATAGCGTCATAGTAAATGATGAAGTCGCACGTCGTAATATATAACGTCACAGTATATGATGACGTCACCTGTCAAAATACATTATGACGTCACGTTATTGTTGACCTGTGATTGTTTTGTTCTGGACACACGTTTCAGTGTAATTGTGTTGTGTTATTAGATGGGGTCTCCTCCAGTTCAGGAAGCTACCCGTCAACTCCACGCAGTTTGTCACCTCAACAGACTGGGTCACAAGGAACGCACTGCTGGATGTTTACAGAGCTGAGAAGGTCAGGGGTTCTTTGTTTGTTTGCTTGTTTGTTTAAAGCCGCACTCAGCAATATTCCAGCTAAATGGTGGCGGTCTGTAAATAATCGAGTCAGGACCAGACAATTCAGTGATCAAGATCATGGGATCTATGTAATTGGGAGACGATCACAAGCCTGACCACTCGATGTTAGTCACCTCTTTCGACATGAATGGGTTGTCGAAGACATACTGTAAATGTCGGTGAAATGATTGGTTAGACTAACAGTCACCTTCGTCCTAGTGGCGTCCATAAACTGTCCTCATGAACATTTGCTGGAAGGTTTTGAAGGAGGGGAAGTTTGTCGTCAGTTCAGCAGTATTCGAGTTGCAAATAGTCAAGTCTCGACCAGACTATCCAGCGATTGATTTCGCTAACATGTATAAACCCCAAAAGCGAGTCTGACAGCACGTGTCATGACACCGCTTTGGGCGGATTGCTGAAAATTAATTCTAACCCGGATGTAAGAATGTTCTGGTAGTCAACAACCGAAGTCCAAGATGCACTCTATTTGTAAAGACAGGTTTAACACACTCATACCTTGAGCTTTGTATTAGACTAATCGCGCGCCACTAAGCAATGAAACAGGGTAGGGCAGCCTAGTGGTTAAAGTGTTCGCTTGTCTTGGCAAAGGCACATGTTCGATTTGATTTTCTTCGTGTCTCGACGTTATTTAGCAGGAATATAGCCAAAAGCTGCAAAAAACACAACTCACTCGCTCTCTTATTTCCCAAACAATGTACTGATGCAAATCTGCAGACAATATATAAATACACGGATGCATAATATACTATATTTTGTTTTCAGGCATACAGAGCTACAACGGGAAGGTATACCGATAAATTGGAGCTGTTAAAACTACCACCATATGTGTTGTCCAAGAGGTGTGTCCGGGATATGGAGGTTAAACTGGACTGGGGCGGCTTCCGGGCAACAGCATTTCCGGTTGACGAGAAGATGAAGGAAGGTCACACGCGGACGGACAGATACGTGTGGTTTGGCGAGAACAATGAAGAGTTGTACTGAGCCACGACCGCACGGACACTTGGACAGTTGGACTCTCGGACATAGTGAGGAAACTCACACATTTGTGTTGGGGTAGTGGAATGAAGAATTCCTTAGTGCCAAACACTTGGTAGGATCTGATGCTACAACGTCCGTGAGAAAACACTCACTGATGCTATTTCCACGACACCTTCCCACAACTGATGAGATTACGTGTGGAGACACGTTTTGAAATCATGTCCTGTACATTACCGCTGTGATTTGGCAAAACCGTATACTCTTCCAAATATATGAAAGATTTTAAATGGAGATTTTAAATGACAGAAACATCTGTAGATAGTTTTATCAGAGACCATATGGTCTCCGGTTTTATTAACACTTGTGTATACAGACGACTGTCGTCTGATTATTGGGACTAATATTGTATAATTCTCGACTGTTATACAGGACAGAGGCCTACGATATAACTTGCAAGGTTTTGTACATATTTTATACTATAGATAGTTGATTTGTTACAAAATAGTTAAACCAGCCTGTGGATTCATATCGCATTCTGTTGAAAGTTCACACTGTATATAGACTAGAACGATCACTCAAAGGGCTGTATGTCTTATTAGAGTAAACACTAGGTCTTGTGTTCCGATTCATCACGACAAAGTAAGACTTCCTGCTGTGACAAAATATCGAGTTGACAATTTTAATCAGGCTGAATAAAGATCTTTTTGCATTTATTGTCCGTGTTATACGATGAGAACAGTATTTGCTTTGCTTTGGTCACTATCCAGCGATCTCCGTACATGAGTTGTACACATCGCTGTGGAACAGGGTTGAAAAGCAGCACTTCTTGGAGATGATTAGCAGATCTGTTAAAATATAAATGGCAAAAAACATCGTCACGACAACAACACAAACGGGACTGTCTTTACCCCAGAGTGAAATTGCTTAAATTCAACCTAAATGTTTACATCAGGAGTTATCCTTCAAGAAAGGAGGTTATCCATTGGTGAACAGCGGTGGAGATACATATTGCTTTAGCCTAACTGTTGCACATCATCATCATCATCATCATCACCACCATCATCATCTTCATCACCACCACCATCATCATCATCATCATCGTCACACCAATAGAACAAATCAAATTTGCTGCTGATTCGAACGTGAAGGTACAAGGACCCACAGCAATACATTACGAAACATGATACACTTAATCATCACGACGCGATCCTCAAACGAAATGCTTCTCGCTGTATGGTGATGTGCGTAAATATTTTGTTAGAAAAAAAATATGGGAACGCAAAGAAGTACTGCCGGATATGCATGTCAGCTGCGTTATGAACATGATTTAAAATATTTACAAAGGTGAAATATTAGAACCTGTTCGTTCGTTGCGGAAGACACCGTGGCTAGGTCAGGAAGAATTCCACACGTTGGGCATACTATTCTATGATCGTCAGTTACAAATCCTCATGCTCATGGTCAAAAACATGCATTGGTTTTCCTCCACAGGGGTCACACCGTGTTAAGTTCAAGACTGTTTTCAAGATGGATAACATTAAGGATTGAGTTTGTTGTCCACCTTTCATTCAGATTGTTGCCATTAGGAGCCTTTTGACTGTCCTCGGTGATTGTTATTATGAATGTAAACTTATATATCCAGTAATTAAAACTGGGGCGAAACCATATATCTAAATTTTGTAAGAGATTTGGTGGGTGGTCCAGAAATGGCGTGTCGAGCTCTAATAAAATAGCCACGCTTCTTGCAAATAGACACGTTTCCTGGATACTTTTGTTACTGTGCGAACCTGTTATCTGACTCACATAACACATTACGTTATCGTGACGTCCATCCACAACTGATAAACCGTGTAATCAAGACCTGAATACGTTTTGTCTGTACAGTTACGTGACATAGTGACCGTTAGGTACCCGCCTGTACGGGGAGGCCAGTTATTACGGGTAAACACCGCTATTCGCTCTGCCCAGGTGCGTTCAGTTATGTTTCTTGGTTGTCAGCAAAACACCTATGAGCTTTCCCAATGGTACTTCGGGCTTTCCTCCCACATTGAAGCTGACACACAATGGTATAACTGAAATACAAGGGCGTTACCTCAACTCACTCACTCACTCTTCCTTCACTGTCACAGTCGGGGCGGTGGGGTAGCCTAGTGGTTAAAGCGTTCGCTCGTCACGCCGAAGACCCTGGTTCGTTTCCCCACATTGGTACAATGTGTGAAGGCCATTCCTGGCGTCCCCCCGCCGTGATATTGCTGGACTATTGCTAAAAGCGGCGTAAAACCAAGCTCACTCACTCACTCACTGTCACTGTAACACGGTACTCTGGTTGTCCAAGACATATACATGATGGCGATTTAAATGCAAAAACAGTAGCTATCTGTGGGGCCGGTCCCACATATCTATCTGTGTATAATAGTGGACATTAGTCCAAAACGTTAAGAACACGGATATCTTTTAATACTGGCTTCCTCCGTGACGGCAGCCGATTTCCTTTGCAAACCTGTCGTTTGATGGTCGCCCGCCATGGATATAAGTAATGTCGTCAGTCTGCGAAGGAAAAGATGAAAGGATACTATATGTGGGATGGGATTGTGCAATTATGATAACATTAATGAAAGAGCTTTAGGTGTTAGAACATGTATCGAAACGACCCGTATGAATGAACACACACACACACACACACACACACACACACACACTCTCTACGAAACAATGTGACTTAGTTCTATAGAATTCCGTTGTTAGGAACCTTTGATTAACAGTCAATAATCTACACCGAAACGTCACTAAATGCAGTACATCAGATACATAACGTTATATAAGAATCAATCTCATGAATATTCAAAGTTATGTGGCTCTCTTAAATAGTAGACATTTATCACATGCATGAGAGCACACCACTTTATGGAACATTGTAAAGCTTAAAGTGAAAGTGCCCCAGGCTAGTACACAATGCTCACTGTAATGTTCGGGACATACCGATGTACGTGAGAAGTATTGCTGTATGTTAGATGTACAGCGCCACGCTCCAGATGATCAGACCCGTTACAGCTGTAACAAACATGTCATGACATATTCAAACCGAGGAAAGTGAAAATACATAAATTCAGTTGAAATAAAAAGTATGAATCACAGGCTACAAGTTACATCATAGTCTTTGAATGCGTTCTGAAATTCAAGGCCTAAATGTCATAACTATTTCACTGATTAATTTCATGAAAACTGACATCCATAGTCTTGTGTTTCCTAATGCCAGCGTCATCGTTGTTTTATGGAACACCTAGCATCAGCAACCACTGTCCAAGGTGAGCATATGACGTCATCTGAAAATATTACACATATTTGATATCATATCTCTTTGAGAGAACTGATGTTTTATACAATAATTCCATGAAACTAATAAGGATGCTATACTCAGTATTTGTGTATGCTACAATCGTGTACCTTTATTACCCGTGTCACTGGATCAATGTGAAACAGGCTTGTCATTCTCAACTCCTTGGGGATTATACGAACCAACCGGCCGGTGAGGGTCACAACAGATTATCATTTCGTCCTGCAGGGTACCCATTCAATGCCGGGTGAACAGAGGCCTATTTTTAAAGGTATGTTCGGTTGTCTTTTGGATCTGGAAAAAGAACGCAATCGGATGGCGATCAGTAGCTAAAACGTCTCCCCTGTGTATTTTCATTGGGAGAATATACAGGAAGGTAAATTGAAACAGATATAAGTCACAAAGGTCTGAGAACATTCCACCGAATGTACAATACACTGACTACTCTTCTTCAGCCTTACTGGAGAAACTTCTTTAACGATGAAGGAAACTATTATAAACAACATGAACGCAGCTTATTGGAAAACCTGTCTTAGGGGAATGAATGGAGCCAAGGAAAGCACGGTGACACAAGCACGGTAAGGGAGGCAACTCTTTACACCCAACAACTACTTTTCTGAAGACGTTAAAGACGACCCTGTGTTTTCAAAGGACAATAATTTATGTCATTGTAATGATAATTATGGCCCTCTGTTCTTTTGAGTGGCATAGACATTACAATTACTACGAATACGGAATCCTGATAGGTCCTCTGCCCAAATTGTACCCGTTGACGCGTCCTTACATGTATTTTCGTTTTACTTCCAAACTATTCTGAACAACATTAGAAACGCACCACACTAAAATAAACCGACGATGCTCAGGTACATTTCAGTCTGGCGGGGGGTATTTCGTACTATATGGGTGGTGCGTTTCTAATGTTGTTCAGTATATAATAGATCAGATAACAGTGTGTATGATGAAATTTCAGCCAAATAATGATGCATGCTTTTAATAACCTCTTGAAAAGGGAGTTCATCATGTGGACAGTTACGAATTTCACATATTCCAGCAGGTGCTACACTCGTCATATAGTGACTGTAAAGCAGATATTTTCCAGCAGGTGATACATACGTCATATAGTGACCGTCAAGTAGATATTCCAGCAGGTGCTACATACGTCATACAGTGACCATCAAGTAGATATTCCAGCAGGTGCTACATACGTCATACAGTGACCATCAAGTAGATATTCCAGCAGGTGTTGCATACGTCATACAGTGACCATCAAGTAGATATTCCAGCAGGTGCTACATACGTCATACAGTGACCATCAAGTAGATATTCCAGCAGGTGCTACATACGTCATACAGTGACCATCAAGTAGATATTCCAGCAGGTGTTGCATACGTCATACAGTGACCATCAAGTAGATATTCCAGCAGGTGCTACATACGTCATACAGTGACCATCAAGTAGATATTCCAGCAGGTGTTGCATACGTCATACAGTGACCATCAAGTAGATATTCCAGCAGGTGCTACATACGTCATACAGTGACCATCAAGTAGATATTCCAGCAGGTGTTACATACGTCATACAGTGACCATCAAGTAGATATTCCAGCAGGTGCTACATACGTCATACAGTGACCATCAAGTAGATATTCCAGCAGGTGCTACATACGTCATACAGTGACCATCAAGTAGATATTCCAGCAGGTGCTACATACGTCATACGTGATACAGTGACCATCAAGTAGATATTAAACCATCAATTAGATATTGCTACATACGTCATACAGTGACCATCAGTGACCATCAAGTAGATATTCCAGCAGGTGTTGCATACATACGTCATACAGTGACCATCAAGTAGATATTCCAGCAGGTGCTACATACGTCATACAGTGACCATCAAGTAGATATTCCAGCAGGTGTTACATACGTCATACAGTGACCATCAAGTAGATATTCCAGCAGGTGCTACATACGTCATACGTCAGTGACCATCAAGTAGTTATTCCAGCAGGTGCTACATACGTCATACAGTGACCATCAAGTAGATATTAAAGCAGGTGCTACATACGTCATACAGTGACCATCAAGTAGATATTCCAGCAGGTGTTGCATACGTCATACAGTGACCATCAAGTAGATATTCCAGCAGGTGCTACATACGTCATACAGTGACCATCAAGTAGACCATCATTCCAGCAGGTGATACATACGTCATACAGTGACCATCAAGTAGATATTCCAGCAGGTGTTGCATACGTCATACAGTGACCATCAAGTAGATATTCCAGCAGGTGATACATACGTCATACAGTGACCATCAAGTAGATATTCCAGCAGGTGTTACATACGT